TTCTGCAGCCCCTATGTTTATCCCTTATGTATCCCCCATGTTTTCACCTTCATTGTATTATCACCTTACGTAATGCGGGTATAAAATCAACTAGTATTGTAAGATCTGTTCACTTGAGAATGAACCATGGAGGTTCGAAACGTCGTGCAAATTATACAAATAAGTGTAATACACTCTATAGTAAATCACTTCTTTTCTTCACCTTAAAAGTACGAAAATGAGTTTTGGAGAACTCCTATTTCAATTAAGCCCTGACGCTAAGAAAATAGTTAGAGGGATAGAAGCCCTAAACCAGAAAATAATAAATATAGAATACGCGGTCATATTCAATGAAACATATATATATATATATATATATATATATATATATATATATATATATATATATATATATATATATATATATATTTAAATATATATATATATATATATATATATATATATATATATATATATATATATATATATATATATATATTATATATTAGTATATTTTGGTAGCAGTCTTTCCTGTAGACATATATTATTAAATATGACCGAAAAAGTAAGATTAATAATTCTAACACGAATTTTCTCTATCTTTCTTACGTTTCTTTTCACTGTTGATGGTAATTCAAAGATCAATTCTCCAAAATTCACTTTTATTTCTAGTCTGACGCGACACTTGAGCGCGTTTCGTAAAACTTATTACATTTTCAAAAACTTTAGTTTACAAACACACAACTGAAACTCAATAGAGCTTGCACATCTTCGAGTTTATATCTACATTTGGGTGAGGTGGATGAGGTGAAAACAAACTTTCAACAATGGGTATTGAATGGGTATTAAATTCAAACACAAGACAGAACACGAAACAATGGGTATTGAATGGAAGTAATTGTAGAAAGCCTATTGGTCCATATTTCTTGATGCTTCTATATTGGAGTCTATCAAGACTCCGCTCCAATATAGAAGCATCAAGAAATATGGACCAATAGGCTTTCTACAATTACTTAGATTTATTAATCTTACTTTTTCGGTCATATTTAATAATAAATGTCTACAGGAAAGACTGCTACCAAAATATACTAATATATATATATGCATGTTTAATGCCCCTAATCTCTCCTCCTAGCTCTTGCCCTTCAGTTCTGGGAGCCACTTAATGGCATGTCTTTACACCTTTTCCAATCTGTTGATGTACTTCTTTAGATATGGGCACCATACAACTGCTGCATATTCTAGCTTTGGCCTAACAAAAGTAGTGAACAATTACTTTAGTATTTCGCCATCCATGTACAGTGGCACGTCGATTACAATAATTTCGAGTTACAGTGGGGCCTCGACTTACTACGGTAATCCGTTCTCAGAGACGGATCGTAAGTCGAAATATCGTAAGTCGAAGCGATTTTTCCCCATAAGAAATAATGGGAATTGAATTAATCCGTTCCCCACCCTCCAAAATATTAACTTACAAATACATTTTATACTGGATACAATTTTTTTTCTAACTACAATACAGTACATATGTTTATTTTATGTTTATGGAGGACTCTTGATGTGTATGGAAGATGGTGAGGAGGGGAGAGGAGGAGAGGTGTTACTGTTTGGAAGGGGAGTTCCCTTCCATTATAACATCAGGCAGTGAGGACCTCTCTGCGGTACACTCTCTCCTATGTTTTGCCTGCATACCACTAGGACCTGGTTGTGATGCACTGCTTGGTTTGTCTCACTAAAAACCTTTCCAGAGATTTTTGCTTTTCCATACGTTTTAATTTTTGTCTGTAGTGAGGCATCACAGTGTCATTAAAAAGGTTAAGGCAACAGCCTACTGCACCGTGATCTGGGCGAGTCGTTTCAGGAAAAGTTTGCAATTCTTCCCATGCTACACACATTTTCTTAATGAGGAAGGGACATTCTGTACTGTCTCCTCCTTCCCTGAATAAATTTCCTCAACTGTCTCTTGTTGCTGCTCCTTGTGAAGTTCTTCGGTGGTCAGTTTTTCGCTGTGTTCCTCCACCAGCTCGCAACACACAACACTCAGAACACTATGAATGCCACTTCTTTTTCTAAATTTCTCAAACCATCTCCTGCTCGCCTTAAACTTTTTCGCATTTACATCACTCGTTCTAGGGGTTTTCTTTAGAAGGTCTTCATGCAATTTCCTTGCTTTTTCACAAATGATGGCCTCTGAAACTCTATCACCCGCTAACTCCTTACTGTGTATCCAAATTAATAATAACTGTTCAACATCCTCAAGTGTTTGTGTTCTATGTTTCGTGATTATTGATACGCCTTTTGCCACTTTAGCACTCATAATGTCCTTTTTCTTTGCAAGTATGGTGGATTTTATGTGATTTTTTTGCTTTTTGAACATAAAACTGATATCCATGGCATGATATATCATGCCATGAGTCCCAAGAAAGTTAGTGATAAGGTTCAACATATGAAAACACATGCAGGCGATGAGTCACAATAACGTGGCTAAAGTATGTTGACCAGACCACACACTGGAAGTTGAAGGGACGACGACGTTTTGGTCCGTCCTGGACCATTCTCAAGTCGATTGTGATGAGGAGGTAGAGACAGGCAATAAATAGGCAAGAGAGAGCTGAGGAGGAAAAGCCTCAGCCTCAGCTTTCCTCCTCAGCTCTCTCTTGCCTATTGCCTGATTCTACCTCCTCATCACAATTGACTTGAGAATGGTCCAGGACGGACCGAAACGTCGTCATCTCTTCAACTTCTAGTGTGTGGTCTGGTCAATATGAAAACACATGTGAGGATGACCATAGAGGCAGGTGAGCAAATTTCTTCTGGGAAGGAGGAGACAGTGCAGAATGTCCCTTCCTCAACAATTAAGAAGTTCTGTAGGCTGTGGGAAGAAATGCAAACTTTTGTTGAAACGACTCACTTAGAGCAAGCTGTAGTAGGCCGTTGCCTTAACCTTTTCAATGATACTGTGATGCATCACTACAGACATATGTTAAAACGAAGGGAAGAAACAAGTGTTGCTAAACAAATTTTTAGTGAGACAAACAAGCAGTGAACCACAACCAGGTCCTAGTGGTATGCAGGCAAAACGTAGGAGTGTGTACCCCAGAGAAGTCATCACTGCCTGATGTAATAATGGAAGGGGACTCCCCTTCCAAACAATAACACCTTTCCTCTCCCCTCATCACCATCTTCCATATGCCATCAAGAGTCCTCCAAAAAGGTAAGATAAATATATGTATTGTACTGTAGTTAAGAGAAAAAAAATTGTATTCAGTATAAAATGTATTTTTAGGTTAATATTTTGGGGGAGTGGAACGAATTAATTCAATTCCCTTTATTTCTTATGGGAAAAAATCGCTTCGACTTACGATATTTTGACTTACGAAATGTCTCTGGTAACGGATTACCATTGTAAATCGAGGCCCCAATGTATTTAATCTAAAAGCAATTATGAAGTTAGAAAGAGTGGCACAATGCTCCTCGCACAATGTTCTTTATGTGGTCCTCAGGTGATATTTTTTTTTATCTAGAACCACTCCTAGATCTCTTTCTTTATCAACTGTTTGCTGATGATGCTAAGATATTAAGGAAGATAAGTATTTGCTCCTGCTCCTCATTTTTAGTGAGGAGCAGAGGTGCCATAGGCACAATCAGAAAACACTGTATAAACATCAGAGGTTCACGGTTGTTCAACACCCTCTCAGCAAGCATAAGAAATATTGCCGAAACATCCGTGGACATCTTCAAGAGAAAACTAGATCATTTTCTCCAAGGAGTGCAGGACCAACCGGACTGTTGTGGATATGTGGGCATGCGGGCCGCTGCAAGCAACAGCTTGGTGGACCAAACTCTCACAAGACAAGCTTGGCCTCGGGCCGGGCTTGGGGAGTAGAAGAACTCCCAGAACCCCATCAACCAGGTCCCAATCAGGTAAGTAACTTAAGATGATTGTCATACCCTTCAAGAAGACCTGGACAGAATAAGCATATGGAGCACCACTTGGCAAATGGAATTTAATGTAAATAAATGCCATGTTATGGAATGTGGAATAGGAGAACATAGACCCCACACAACCTATAAATTATATGAGAAATCTTTAAAGAAGTCTGATAAAGAAAGATCTAGGTGTGGTTCTAGATAGAAAACTATCACTTGAGGATCACATTAAGAACATTGTGTGAGGGACCTATGCTACACTTTCTAACTTCAGAATTGCTTTTAAATACATGGATGGTGAAATACTAGAGAAATTGTTCACGACTTTTGTTATACCTAAACTGGAATATGCAGCGGTTGTATAGTGCCCATATCTAAAGCAGCACATCAACAAACTGGAAAATGTACAAAGACATGCCACCAAGAGGCTCCCAGAACTGGAGGATAAGAGCTACAAGGAGAGGTTAGAGGCATTAAATATGTCAAAACTAGATGACAGACGAAAAAGAGGTGATATGATCACTACGTACAAAATAGTAACAGGAATTGATAAAATTAATAGGGAAGAATTCCTGAGACTTGGAACTTAAAGAAGCAGAGGTCATAGATGTAAACTAACTAAACACAGATGCCAAAGAAATATAAGACAATTCACTTTCGCAAACAGAGTGGTAGACGGTTGGAACAAGTTAGGGGAGAAGGTGGTGGAGGCCAAAACCGTCAGTAGTTTCAAAGAGTTATATGACAAAAAGTGCTGGGAAGACAGAACACAACGAGCGTAGCTCTCATCCTGTAACTACACTTAGGTAATTACACACACGTGCAAAGTTTCTTTCCCCCTGATGCACCTGTTCACCTAGCAGTAAATAGGTACCTGGGAGTTAGATAGCTGCTACGGGCTGCTTCCTGGGGATGTGTGTGTGAGTGTGTTACAGAGAAATATATGTAGTGGATACAATAGAGGAAAATAGATTGGTTAGATAGGCGGAGTCTAAGACCTAATAGCTTGATTCTGCAGGCACAAACAGAAAATACAAATAGTAAATACACACACACACACAATGAATACTACACAAAGATGAAAAGCTGACCTGGCGTTTAAGAGCGATGACCTCATTCTCCATGTGACGCAGCAGTTGTTGGCCGGGGGTGAGAGTCCCAGGGGGACCAGGAGGGCCAGATGATACCATAGCCATCAAGTCCTGAACAAGATGAAAAGAAACACCTGCACACAACTTGCTTCACAAACATCCCATTAGAAAAAAAAAAAAAAAATTATTGTTTACATTACAAAGCAAATGATTTCCAAGACTCAGAATTTCAAGTTCTGTGCTCAACTTAGCTCAACTCAACTTAGAACCTCAAGTGTTCCATGTCTTCCTCAAATGTTTTCTGACTTACTGCTGCGTCTAGTACAACTGTTTTGAACATAAATCTTTAAAACAACTGAAGAACTCTAAATGCTGCTTTTCACATATTAAAAACAAATTATTACTTCATACTTGCAAAAGATACGAAAACGTGTAAGAGAATGCCATAAAAATTTTTGTTAAGCCACAAAAAGCAGTACTTGACAAATAGCTAGATGGGGACCAGGCAAATAAAGTATTGTAGCAACATCTGTCAGTGCACTTGCTACGTGTACCAAAATATTAGTTTATGTCCAGCCACCAGACACAGTTTTGTTATTTAAGTTCATTATTACCAAGTAATACATTATTGTACAATGTATATTATGGATTGCATATTTAACAAAATGTTGGATTACATATTAGGGCATGGCTATACCAAAGGAAACAAAGAGTAGTATAATTGGGGTTAAGTCAGACTGGGAAAATGTTGTAAGTGGAGTGCCTCAAGACTCTGTCCTGGGACTTCTGTTATTCATAATATATATAAATGATCTAGATTCAGGTTTGAGCAGCAATATTTGCAAATTTGCCGAAGATACAAAAATCAGGAGGGAAATAAACATGGAAAAAGACTCGCTATCACTTCAGGACGATCTAAATAGGGTTTTGAAATGGTCAAAAGATCGGCAGATGCAGTTTAATGCTAACAAATGTAAGGTTTTGAGACTAGGTAATGATGATATAGTTAAAGATATGAGCTACATGGAGTTGAGATTGCTAAGTCGGATTGCAAAGGGAACCTGGGGGCTATGATTAGTAAGAATTTAAAACCAAAAATCAATGCATGAATGTTTGTAATAAGGCAAATAGGACACTGGGATTTATTAATCGAAGCATTACTAATAAGACACCTGGTGTTGTTCTTCAGCTATATCTTGCTCTGGTTAGGCCTTATTTAGATTATGCAGTTCAGTTTTGGTCACATATTATAGAATGGATATAAATTCACTAGAACATGTCCACTGTAGGATGTCAAAGTTAATCCCCAAATTAGAAATCTGTCATATGAAGAAAAATTGACAAAGCTTAAACTACATTCTCTAGAAAGGCAAACAATTAGGGGTGACTTGATAGAGGTGAACAAGTGGATGAATGGTCATAACAAAGGGGATATTAATAGGGTGTTAAAAGTATCAACACAAAACAGAACACGAAACAATGGGTATAAACTGGATAAGTTTAGATTTAGGAAAGAACAGGGTAAATACTGGTTCGGTAACAGGGTTGTTGATTTGTTGAGCCAATTACCGCGTAGCGTAATAGAAGTAGGATCCATTGATTGTTTCAAGCATAGGTTAGACATATATATATATATATGGATGAGATTGGGTGGATATAAATAGGAGCTGCCTCATATGAGCCAATAGGCCTTTTGTAGTTACCTTCATTCTTATATTCTTATATTTATCAAAATGCTATTTCAAAAAATGTGCTTTGGATTGCAACCCTTAAATTTTGTTTACTTTTTATATGTTACTTTAACCCATAAACTGTGCATGGCGTATATAAACGCCATGAGTAACATGTCCCACGGTGCGCATGGCTTATATATATGCCATAGGGTGCCAGGCATGATTCAAATGGCCCACGGCTACACAGGGTTCACATCAGCTTCCTCAGGGCTCTTGTAAACAGACGCCATGTTTAAAAAAAATAGTAGGCAATATTCTCTGGTGTGAGAGCCACAGTACTGTTGGAGCAACCAAGGCTGGCGCATGCAGCATGAGCTAACATCATTGCTGTTCAGCTTGTGACCACAGCATCGCCGAAAAATGTCAAAATAAATATGTAACTGCTATTATTTAGCAATGACAATATTACAGATGACCCCTGACTGTGATAAAAATTACCAGGATTGTTGTGATAATTAGTGTTGTGTGGGAGGAGTAATGCTGAGGGAGGGAGGGAGGGAGATTACTGTGTAATTACCTGTTATTGTATGCATTCACCATACCAGCTCAGCGGTTCTCTTATGGTGAACACAAATGTAGATACTTATATATAATGTGCGTGTATTAGTGTAATAACAGCAAAAGGATTATGTTGGGAGGAGCCATTTGGGTGACGGAGGTGGCATCGTCTGCATGACTTGTCTAGCTGTGTAGAGAGTGGCCACTATGCACCCTACAAGCTTAGGTGTACAGTTTCGGTGCATACATCATGTAGATACTTATATATAATGTGTGTATATAGTGTAATAACAGCCCAAACAGTATTGTTGGGGGAGAAATTTTAGTGTGCCTGGCCTTGAATGAGTGAGGGAGGCAGCCGCCAGCTGACTGTGTGTGTAGCGACGTATCTTAGTGCCTGAACTAACTTTATCAGCTTAGTTGTACAGTTGTGGTGAACAAAATATGTAGATACTTATATATAATGTGTGTATATAGTGTAATAACAGCAAAACTATTTGTTTATTGTTTTATGAATGTAATAATTTAACTGCCAATATGAACACCATACTTTTGAGTATAGCGATGATTCACACATTTTATTACATAAATCTATCACACTACACACTATTGAATACTGTAATATTACTGCAAAAAACTAAGAAAAAATAAATCAGACATATCGAAATAATTACGTAATAATATCTTTGTGGCAACTACCACAAGACAGCTCGGGTGACGCTGACCGCCTCTGACAACCGCTCTGTCAACGCCCACATTTTGCCAGACTTCCTCGGCCTATTGGGGGCCAAAATATGTCACCTACGAATTTTTTTTTATTTTTTCCCGTGCTCAGGGAACACTAACATTTTTAGAAGACGAAAAAAAAAAAATAAATTTTTTTTCTTGAACACACGGGTGTAAATCTCCTCAGGACCCCTTAGCAGCTTAAGGATTAATGTTAGATATTTTTTACTTAACACTATTGCACTCTTTGAAACGCTCCCGGGAATCAAAATTTTTTCTCCCAAGTCCGAGCGTGAAACATGCGCGTGCGCCAATATTTAAAGTACAGTATTTGAAAAAGATTCAATTTTATCCGATCAACTTCGGGATGGTTTCAAAATGACCGCCTTTTGATTGCGCACAATTTGTTACCAAAATGAAAGATGTAACATGAAAATTGATGGCAGAACACTGGAAAGTTTATAAATACTTTTTGGTTAAAATTTTAAAATATTTGTTAAAATTCTATTTATTGTGCTATCATTATGGGACTAGTTTTAAAATGTACGCCTTTAGATTGCGAACAATTTGATACCAAAATGAAAGATGTAACAAAATTTTTTATGTCAGAGCACTGGAAAGATATAAATAATTTTGTGATGATGAGCGTCCAAAATTTAAAATATTTGTTAAAATTACATTTATTGCTCTATTATTATGGGACTAGTTTTAAAGTACGAGCCTTTATATTGTGAACAATTTGATACCAAAATAAAAGACGTAACACGAAAATTTGTTTTATCAACCTGAACGAGTATACACATGTATAAATCTTGCACCTTGCATCTACATAAGGAGATGTAACGAGAAACATCATTGGCAACTCAAATAGAGGAGGCTAATAAAGAACTAGAAAAGTATAAAAAAGAAATAAAAGAGACACATGCGAAAGTTGTAAAAGAGAAAGAGGCAATTAAGGAACTGTGTTTGGAGGTCAAAACCAGAAATGACAAACAAGAAGCGAATCTTAGGCAAGCAATTAGGAAACAACTGGTTACCAACAGTAAACTGGTACAAAACACTGTAGATAGAAGTAAGTCCATAATAATTTTTGGATGTTTAGAGAAGGAAATTTCATCTAAGGTGGACCAAGCAGCAGAAGAGATGAAAATCATAGAAAAAATAGTAGGATTAGGAGAAGGCCTAAATTCAAAGGAGCATGTCAGTGATTTTAAGTGGATAGGAAAATATAAAAAAACAAGAACCGCCCCTTAAGGGTGACGTTTAATACAGTAAAGTATATGTCAGAAGTGCTATGGAATGCCAGAAAATTGCAATATGACGAAGATGGCAAACTGTGGTCAATAAGACAAGACCTCTCAAAGGAGGACAGAGAAAAGCTAAAAATGAACCTCACTGAAGCGAAACGTCTAAATGGGGATAAAAATGAAGAAGAAAGAAATTCTTTTTTCTCCAGTCCCTGACACCCTACAAAGTGTCAGGGACTGGAAAACTTGTGAAATGGTACAAAAAGACAAAACAACAAAATCATTAACCCCTTAACTGCGTTGCCTCCAAATGTGACACCCCCGCAGTGCGCAGGAAATAAATTCTCTGGAAAAAATTCTTTTTTCTTTTTAAAGTGTCAAAAACCCTTCCCTCAGTATGGGTATGTAAAAAAAAAGTCGAAATTGTACTTACTTTGGCTGCTATGGGGTCCGGAAGTTGGGGCGTGACGTCATCATTCCCCGTGCGCCTGTGCCATAAGCTCTCGGGGGCGGTGGGGCGCTCGGGGCGGGGCGCGCGAGTTGCCGCGAATATATTTTCGTTCATTTTTTGCGCACCTTTCCAAATACATTTTCATTGTTTTTATGTGCCAATCCAATGTATAATGAACACGTACACTATAATATCGCAGTACAACATCCGTACTGTCCGTAGACACTGTGTTACGTGCATGAAACTTGTGTACACATATGCAGCACATATTTACTATGTATCATGCTAATTTGTGTATATATACAATCTATTTACACACTATACACTGTCACACATTATATACATTCACCATCAACACATTCAGAACACAGCGTAGCAGCTGCTTCGTATGGGCCAATATCAGCTGCCTCGTATGGGCCAATAGCAGCTGCCCCGTATGGGCCAATAGCAGCTGCC